AAGTTTAAGAGATAGGCATGGTTGATTGGATGGGGGGAGTTGAGAAATTATAATTATATTAAAGAACTCTTAAAAAAATCATTTTGGGTAGAGGTAGAGGTAGGCATAGGCGAGTAAATGCTAAATGGTGGGATTGATGAAAAAAATAAAATTATAAATATATTAAAAAGTATTTTAAAATATAATTTTGGAGCCCCTGTTTTTAACACCCTTCTTTGGGGGCCCTAGGCAGGTGCCTTACCTGCCTAGGGGTTAAGCCGGGCCTGGATACCATTCATGGCTTCTTTACAAGTTTCAGATAGCCTTTCTTATTCATCTTCATGTCGCTCTCCAAATAGAATAAATGCTGCTATATCTGTCCCAAAACTCCCAAGAATCAGTTTGTCTCCTCCAAAAAAAAAGAGTATAGACTTGGTTGAGAAACTGAGGATGAGAGATAATAAAAACACAAGCTCAATCCCAGTAGAAAAGATTGTCCCTAGCACAGCAATACAAGAAAACAATGCTGACGACTCTACTAATTCAATGGTGACAGCCCAACTTTACGCTATCTTAGAGTCTGTTGCTGATAGAGTTGAGATGCACAACAACCTCGGCCAGCAACGTGACAACTGGAACACCCATCCGTTGAACTCTATCAACATGATTTCTCTCACTGCTACCACCATGGCTGGTGTTGCTGCAACTGGTGGCGCAGGCGTTTCATCACTTTTGGCTTTGAAATTATCATCAACTCTCCTGTTCTCTGCAGCCGCTGGGATGATGGTTATGGTGAACAAGATCCAGCCCTCACAACTTGCAGAAGAGCAACGTAACGCAACAAGATTGTTCAAGCAGCTCCAGAGATAAATACAAACCGTCCTTGCTCTAAGGGTTCCCAGTGAAGCCGACGTGAAAGAAGCAATGGAGAAAGTTTTGGCACTTGACCAAGCATACCCACTTCCCTTGCTGGGTAAAATGATATAGAAGTTCCCTAAAACATTTGAGCCTGCTGTTTAGTGGCCATCAAATCACTCCCAGGCAAAAAACAAAAATGCATATAAAAGAGAGCAAAGTAGCATGAATACGGAGAAAAATGGATGGGGTGAAGATCTGGAAGTGGAGATGAGAGAGATTATTTGAGTGTTAAAGACAAATGATACAGAAGATTACATGAGACTAGGCAACTTGGCGTTGAAGATAAACAAGATTCTAGCCATCTCAGGGCCATTACTCACCGGCATTGCAGCTGTTGGGTCGGCTTTCGTGGGGTCTCCTCACGGGTCATGGGCTGCTGTTATCACGGTGGCTGCAGGCGCATTAGCTACCACAGTTAACACTTCAGAGCACGGTGGGCAAGTTGGCATGGTGTTGGAGATGTATAGAAACTGCGCTGGCTTCTTCACACTCTTGGAAGAATCAATCGAAACCACTGTCAATGAAAGTGATGTAGAGAAGAGAGAAAATGGGGAGATGTTTGAACAGAAAGTAGCTTTACAGTTGGGAAGAAGCACTTCTCAACTGAGAGATCTTTCCGAAAAATCAATTTACTCTCGCATAGATGGAGCCGAACAAGAGGAGTTTGCAAGTAAACTTTTCTGATCGGAGATAATTTACGTATTGTTGATTCTTGTGATAACAAATATATATTCAGTACTGTGTAATCATGTATAGAGAAGATATTAATAGCCTCTAATTTAATAAACTATTTTTTAATTTTCATACAACAGAAATAATTTCATTCCATTTTCAGATATATAAGACATACTCCTTAATTATTGATTCTATTAATGGTCATATGTTCATGTTGTCCTCGGAAACAAACAAGTTAATTTTTTGCTATTAACGGCAACTAAATCATTTTAGTGTCCAGACCAACTTGAATGCATTTCGACTAATCTTCTAAAGTCTTGAAGTTAGCAATCGGAAATACTCTCTAATGGTCATCTCTATTAACAATCGAGGTGACTTGAACTTAGGATCTCTTAAATAATACACTCAAGAGTCCTTGTCCGCCCACTTAAGAGTGCTTTTATCATTTCAATATTGCCACTTTCAAATTTCAAATAGTAGTTTAATTTTATGTATATAAATATATTGTCAGTCTCAACTACAAACCTTATTAATTAATGATTACAATTTATCGCTGGTTAACATAATGGATAAAAGTTTTAACTTCATGTATTACATCAAAATTTACCAAAAAAAAATTATTATTTAATATTATTTTGGCCACATTTTTTAGGTTGAAGACTGAATTTAAGGGCTTAGAGAAAACATAAAGAAAAGTGTTATGAACCGGAATTCTCTCCCTCTTCAGAGAGAAAGCAATCTTATTCAAAAACTACTTCAGGTTGTATGGTTTGGGAAGGTACAACTTTCGGTTGCTGAGTAATAGTTTTCTTAAGAGAAGGAAAATCTGTATCATAAGAGGTGTTTTGCCCGGATGGTTGATTTTATAAAATACATATATTTTCTATGTTTAGATATTTTTGTGTATATAAATATGAGTTGAATTGTCTAGGCTTCAAACTAGTGGGGCGAGGCCCTGTAGACAAAATAGTTTGATGGTTAATAAACTTGTAAAACCTTAAGAAGTCAAAAGGCGACTCAACGGCTATGATAGTATGATTATCCCAAAAATTTTGCCTTTTTGACTAACAACAAAATCGACCCCTTATTACGTCAAACTTTTATCTGCATATTTATTTATGCTCATTTTTTTGGTTTTCTTTAAACCACGAATCAAAGGGCTTTGCTAAGATTCTAGTTAACTTTACCCAGTAAAAATCAGATATTTGGCCAGCTGAATTTTGGTAATAGCCGTCAAAAGTTTAGACATATTCCAGTTAATCGAGCTCGCTGCATGTCTGCCTGCTGCTAGACTTTTATTTATTTAATCACTTTATAGAAACATTCAACTCAATTTTATGTTTTAGAAAACTTGACTCTGCGAAAACCTGTGAAGTGTATATATGTTTTTATTCAGTTTTAGTTCAAGTAAAGTAACCAATATAAAGTAAAACGTGTTTGATATTTTTAATGTGCATTAAATTAAATGAATAATTAAGTTGCTAATATTCATAGTTGTATACCACTACACCAATAATTAAATTATTTGCTCTTTCCATAAATCAATATAGGGGAGGATCCTAATTCATGATTTCACATTAATTATTTAAATGATATATTATAAAGTAAGTCGCTGATAGAAAAGAGTCTTCCTTGTGTCACAACATTATTTCGCAATGTTGTGGCAAGAACAAGTGTGGAGAGCGTAGGGGTTTCGCAAAGCATTCACATGGGGTATGAAAAATGAGACGTTAGGTGTGTTTCCTCCTGACTATTAGATATAAAGGACATTTATGTAATTTATAGCTAATTACTGTTTAGTTAGTTTTAGAGAAGTTGAGTTAGTTAACTCATATTCAGCTCAATTAGTTAATGAGATATAGTGTTGTATATAAAGAAACAGTGATGTATTAGTAAAGTGTGATTGCATTTTCCCAAAATTCAGTTTGATACAATCCTATTTGCTTTATTAACATGGTATTAGAGCATCGGAGATTCAGCCTTAATCTAGGAAATCGGTCAATTTGAATCAATCCTCTGTACGTCAGTTAAGCTCATTCAAGCTTAAATATTTGATTTCTTCATTTCATTCCTTGAATTTCTAGTTTGAAATCTTGGATTTTAGGTTTTGTTCTAGCTTGAAATCTTGAATCAAGTTTGATTCAACCTGAATTCTTTACTGATTTCTATTTGAATTTGATCTTGGAACAATCAATTTGATATTGGTTAATCGACATGGCAACACTAACAGAAGAAGTAACTGTTTAGACGATTGACTCCAACTCACACTTGTATGTTCATCCATTGGATACACGAGACTATGTCCATCCATTGGAGGCATGACAATCTCTCTTTTTGCCAAAAACAAACTCGGATTTGTTAATGGTACTTGCACAAAATCAACTGTGCATCCTAGCTTGGTTTCACAATAGGAGAGATGCAACTCATTAGTACTTGATGGATCTTTAATTCACTTTCAAAGGAGATCTTTAATGGTATGGTATACTCCACAAGTGCTCCACAAGTTTGGCAAAATTTGAAGGAGCAGTACAACAAAGTGAATGGGACTAGAGTTTTTGGATTACATCAATAAATTTCTAACCTAACTCAAGGATCTAATATAGTAGCTAGCTACTATAGCAAGCTCAAGTCATTGTGGGATGAACTGGATTCTTTGGTCAGCCTCCTTGCATCTAATAGTGTCTCAACAAAGATATATTTGGAGCACTTAAATCAGCATAAGCTGTTGTAGTTTTTAATGAGATTAAATGAGTCTTATTCAATGGTTCGAAGCCAAATCTTGCCGATGAACCCTTTACCAAGTGTCAACCAGGCTTATTCAATGGTCAATCAAGATAAACCTAGGGGATTATGTATGACTTCAACCCTCAATCCCACATTTCATTCCCCACTAGATGCAAAGATAGTACATTTACTCATGATTAACCTAGGGAACTGTGATAGTGGGTTAAATAATAGTCGAAATGTGCGTAAACTGAGTTGAGCACCTTAGTTAACAAAAATATGTATATAAAAAATTTTCTTATTAGATGGAAGCAACTAATTAATAATAGGATACAAGGATTTTACAAAACATGAACAATGGAATTCCTAATTAAACATGGAGAGTCGTATTTTAAAACGAAATATGTCACTTGGATAGTAAAAAGTTTGGGATGATTAAACTTAGATACTGAAATATTGAGTTCAAGTACTCTTGCGTACGTAGAACTTAGAAGATAATATTGACTTGAGGGGCAGACGAAAATTACAAAGAGAAAAAGTCAGCTTATGCCAAGTCACATTCCAAAACGCACCCAGTCCAGTCAGCCGACGACCTCTTCTATGTATCTTTGATCAGTTATAGTTCGTTAGTATAAATACAGGCAGATACCATACACAAACACAATAACAATCACAAACAAAGATGATCAAATATCAGATACCGTTCATGGCTTCTCTACAAGTTTCAGATAGCCATTTTTATTCATCTTCGTGTTGCTCTTCGTCAGAAGCTCAGATTCCAGCTGCTCAAATTTGGTCTTCAGTGTAGTCATCTCTTCCTCCAAGGCCTTTTTTTCCTCTGAACCAGCAGCTTTCCCATTCTCAAAATCTCGGCTTTGTTTCTTTACAGCTTCCATGCTCTTCCTTCGAATGCAAAGTTCTCTGATATAGTGATGTAGTCCGTCTATCATTAGTGCAAGGAACAGAGAGGCTCCTGCAAGCAATTATCCACAATTAATAAAGGTCCAAGTGCCAGAAGGAACATGATATGCAGAGGAATTATTAAAGATATCTATTTAAATAAAAAGGAAGCACTCGGAGGTCAAAACAACATAAATAAATCACAACAGGGATTTTTATTCTCATTTTAAAAGAGAAATTGCAAGAACATGACAGAATGTCAACAGCATTCTCATGCAATCTCGTACAGATAGAATAACAAGCATTCCCGAAATAAAGCGACCAGACAATGCTTTCTAACACTCATGCCAAAAATTTCTTAACCAATTTCCATCAAATGAATAACTTCAAATTTCTACTAAGTTTACATGGGCTAAAAATAGGGTCAAAAAGGAAAACAACCAGTTTTTCTAACTTCTGACACTCATAACAAACATAACTTTCCAATGGCCAAAGAAAAACCTTCCCACCACACTTAAAGCTACGGCAATATCTTACAACTCAAAGATTATGACATATACTTTTTTTAATTAGAGCACAAAATTAATTGGTTCGACATGGTATTCAGAAGAAGGTAATGTGAGATGGCATAGTATAGCTTGGTTAAGTGATGCTTTTATAAAACTTATTAGTCAAGAAAATTTTTACAGTACATGTATGTATAACCATTTCACAAGAAAGAAAACCACTCTGACTATCCAAAACGATACACAGAGATCAAGGCAACGCACACTGTTATACACAGGCCCAAATTTTTTGCCGCGTGATTTTTAACACCTTAGATGACCTAGACAATATCACTGTCACCTAATTCATATACGAAAAAAAGACATTTTTTTTTATGCTTGAAACAATCATATGCATATGCTAGATCAAATAGTCGCCACAATTATCGAAACTAGATATTAATATTGCTATAATACTACACTTACAAAGTAAGCATCTCAATTTTGTATTTCAGACGATGTAAAATTTGATCAACACGATAAAAGCATATATAAATGAAGGCATCGAATCTCAAATCAGCCACATCATTTGAGATACAAAGTTGGATACTTCAGTTACTCTAATTCCTCAAAGTTCAGAGACATGGTATTTCACAATATGCCAATCAACAGTATCCACATAACAGAACAAGCTTCAAACTTGCAGTCAACCATTCCAAACCATCAATTCATGAAAAAAAAAATTCACAAATTCAAACACAACCCACTTCCCAAAACGCTAAATCAAGCACATTCCAATCTACATTATCAATCAAACCTCATAAAGCTCGCAACTTTATTAGTTACAACCCCCCCAAAAAAAAAACAGAAAACACAATTCAATAAAACAATAATTACCCATAAGAGTGGCTTCAAGAAGGTGCTTGCCCATGAGGACCTGGTCCGTTGGATTGACCGAACCCTCATCGATCCAACGCTTCTGGATCTTCACCATACTATATAAATTCGAAATCAACATCACAAATACCGTTCCGGCCACCGTTTTGATCACCACAGGCCCACGGCCACGCTTCACACGATCAAGGCTCATGATCACAAGCTTCCTCAAGGGGGTCTTGAACGATAACACCAATATCAATACCATCTCGGAAAAAATCACAGTGAACAAGAGCTGTTGCATCGTTTTCCGGTGACAAAAGTTCAAATTTTTGACAACAAAAAGTAAAGAAGTTGCGATTTTTACGAGAAAATTTAGCTTCCGGCCATCCCAAGTTTCCATTTAACAAAATGGTCATGAAAATCTTTTTGATTTTTTTTTGGGTTAAAAGATATGGACGTGACACACTTAAGTATAATTAAAGCAGTAAAAAAAATTAGAGTGAAAAGATTTAAACATTTGTGGGTTACAGTATAATAAAGAGAAGTTGATTTAAAATTTGAAAGGCAAAACACATTTCTCTAAGCTTCTCTTTCTCACAACAGGATTCAAACACCTTTCTCTCTCTCGTTTTTTCTTCCAATTTTCTACAATTTCTCAATTTCTTTGCTCTTTGCATTTTTGTCATTTCTTACCATTCCCGATTAAGTTATAATGGCTAAGATCCTTAAAGAAATAAAAAAAAAACCCATCTACTCCCCAAATTGTAGGCACCACTAGGTCTACCAAAAATGGAGAAGAAGAAGTTGTGGTGGAGTAACTTCCGATGACTGAAGTTGCTCCACTAGGAGAGGAGACGGCGTTGACGGAAGACATTCTATTGGCGAAACAAGGGAGGGCAAGAGTTGAAATTGAAACTGAAGAGGAGGATGCCGATGCAAATTCCAAGCGTCGGACATGATCGCTTAAGCGATCTAAAATCGCTTAAGCGACCAAGAGTAAAAGCAAAGGATCGCTTAAGCGATCTGGTATATGATAGAAGATCGCTTAAGCGATCGTGCATTTGAGCAGAAGTTGATTCTGCTTCAGACATGATCGCTTAAGCGATTATAGGCGACCAACGTTAAAAGCAAAGGATCGCTTAAGCGATCATGCGTCTGGACACTTATTTATTGTCTTGTTCATGATCGCTTAAGCAATCGTAGATCGCTTAAGCAATCGTAGATCGCTTAAGCGACCGACAGTAAAAGCGAAGAATCGCTTAAGCGATCCTGCGTCTAGGCACTTATTTATTGTCTTGTCCATGATCGCTTAAGTGACCAATAGTAAAAGCGAAGAATCGCTTAAGCGATACACTTAATCGCTTAAGCGATTGTGCATCTAAGCAGAAGTTTATTCTGCCTCGGACATGATCGCTTAAGCGATTTGTAATCGCTTAAGCGACCAAGGTTAAAAGCAAAGATCGATTAAACGATAGAATAAATCGCTTAAGCGATCGTGCGTCTGGACACTTATTGATTCTGTCTTGTTCGTGATCGCTTAAGCAATCTATGATCGCTTAAGCGACCAAGTGTAAAAGCATAGAATCGCTTAAGCGATAACATAAATACAACCAGATCTCTTAAGCGACTAAGTCTAAATACACAGGATCGCTTAAGCGAGAAATGAAATCTCTTAAGCGATCCAGTGTATTTGGATTATTTTTATTGTATTTCACTAGATTGGTTAAGCGATTAACGCTATCTTAGACATATAAGGTGTACGATTCATTCAGTGGACCATGACCATTATTATATTTTAATTAAATTAGTTCTTTTACGGCTATATTAAACATATATGGTGTAGAATGTTTACGTCTATATTAAACATATCAAGTATACGATTCATTCAATAGACCATGACCGTTATTATATTTTAATTAAATTAGTTCTTTTACGGCTATATTAAACATATATGGTGTAGAATATTTACGTCTATATTAAACATATCAGGTGTACGATCGTTCAGTGGACCATAACCGTTATTATATTTTAATCAAATTAGTTCTTTTACGGCTATATTAAACATATATGGTGTAGAATGTTTACATCTATATTAAACATATCAGGTGTACGATTTGTTCAATAGACCTATTTTAATTAAATTATTTCTTTTACAGCTATATTAAACACATATGGTGTAGAATGTTTACGTCTATATTAAACATATCAGGTGTACGATTTGTTCAATAGACCTATTTTAATTAAATTATTTCTTTTACGGCTATATTAAACACATATGGTGTAGAATGTTTACGTCTATATTAAACATATCAGGTGTACGATGTCTAAATTAAACATATCAGGTGTACGATTCGTTTAGTGGACCATGACCGTTATTATATTTTAATTAAATTAGCTCTTTTACCGCTATATTAAACATATATGGTGTAGAGTCATTGTCCACTGAACGAATCGTAAACCTTATATGTTTAGCATTGACGTAAACATTCTACATCGTATATGTTTCATACTGACGTAAAAGAACTATATGTTTAATATTAATATAATGACAGTCATGGTCCACTGAACGAATCGTAAACCCTATATGTTAAGAGTTCGAGCAATAAAATGGCTTCACAGTTGTGATATGAATAAACAAGAAGATGGTGAAATGTTTAGAGCATTGATAAATATTAAACTCTTTTGAGATTCTTCTCGGTTTGATTTTAAAAGAGTTATTATTTTAAGGAGTAAACGAAGATAAAAAGACTAATCAACGGATTGTTTGTACAGATAGTTTTGTAAAATTACAGCTCAGTAAGATTCGTTCAATAAAGAATACTTTATTGCCAACAACTAACAATTTTATGTACGGAGTTGTAACGATGCAAAACCATTTGCACAAAAATTCTGTTTAATAGTCAAAGGAACTTCGTTTACACAGGGTCGCTTAAGCGATCGTAGATATCGCTTAAGTGATTGGTTTCTTTTTCACTTGGTTGATTAAGCGATCATGTGATTGGCAGAATCAAATCTGTCCAGTGCATGATCGCTTAAGCGATCCGTGATATCGCTTAAGCGATTCTTGTCTTTTTCATTTGGTCGATTAAGCGATCCTAGATCGCTTAAGCAATCATGTGATGGGCAGAATCAATATCTGCGCAGATGCACGATCGCTTAAGCGATCCTGTTTGAAAAACCCTTTGTCGCTTAGGCGATATACTTAGTCACTTAAGCGATCATGGGCAATATATACTTTTCCAGCTTTTCTCCTGAATTTTGACAAACTAAAATTACCAACACGTATTAATTCCATACTTTCTGCTCAATTTGACAACCTAATTCCAAACTAAAATCACGAACAAATATTTAGGCCACGTAACAAGAATACTAAATATAAAGAATGATTTATTAAAGGTTACAATAAAATTTAAAACATTAATAATTGAAAACAATAACTCATCAACGGTTGGCCTTGGCAACTCCCTGAATTTCATCCTTCTTTGAACCTAATTTTCTGGATCTGCATGTGATTTCTTCTGGTAACTGCTTCTCTTATGGCCAGGTTGCTTGCAAATTGAGCACTTATTTGTCTCCTGGGGAACCTCAGAGGCTGATGGAATACGCTTAACTCTTTTTCTCCCCCTTGTTGTCTTCTTGAATGGCGGATGGATGATAATGTGAGCCAACTCTGGTGGCACTACCCACTGCTCTTCTGGAGGCACTGGATATATCGTTTCTGAATAAGCTAGCATGTAGTGATTTTCCATATAGAGAGGGGAGCAAAGTTCCATGTAAATTCTTGAACCAAAATCCGACTTCCGTTGGTGTTTCGGTGCTGATAATGCATGAGGACAAGGTAAAAGTTGAATGTCAAGCACTTTACAATTGCAAGTTTTTCTAACAAGGTCAACTAGGGCATCCGGACCATAGCCTTGCATAGTGAACTCTTGAGCATTAAGAGGATANCAATTTCATAAAGTTGTTAAAAGATTTTCACACTTCCAATTTCGCACAAGTACTCTTGCAAAACTACCTAATAACCCACCATGCCTTATTTCTTACTAAAACATCTCTAAAAAGTTTCAATTCTTACATATTACCCCCTAGATTCACATAAATAAAATTAAGTAAAACCCACAAAGAAAATACAGAGTATTACAACTTCGTTTACACAGGGTCGCTTAAGCGACCGTAGATATCGCTTAAGTGATGCTTTTCTTTTTAACTTGGTCGATTAAGCGATTGTAGATATCGCTTAAGCAATCATGTGATTGGCAGAATCAAATCGATCTCAAATGCATGATTGCTTAAGCGATCCGTGATATCGCTTAAGCGATTCTTGTCTTTTTCACTTGGTCGATTAAGCGATCGTAGATATCGCTTAAGCGATCATGTGATTGGCAGAATTAAATCTGCCCAGGTGCATGATCGCTTAAGTGATCCGTGATATCACTTAAGCGATTCTTGTCTTTTTCACTTGGTCGATTAAGCGATCATGTGATGGGCAGAATCAAATCTGCCCAGGTGCATGATCGCTTAAGCAACTAAGTGTATCGTTTAAGCGATTCTTGTCTTTTTCACTTGGTCGATTAAGCGATCATCGATCGCTTAAGCGATCATGTGACGGGCTGAATCAATATCTGCTCAGATGCACGATCGCTTAAGCGATTTGGTTTGAAAAACCCTTTGTCTCTTAAGCGATACACTTAGTCGCTTAAGCAATCATGGGTAATATATACTTTTCCAGCTTTTCTCCTGAATTTTGACAAACTAAAATTACCAACACGTATTAATTCCATACTTTCTCCTCAATTTGACAACCTAATACCAAACTAGAATCACCAACAAATATTTAGGCTATGTAACAAGAATATAAATATAAAGAATGATTTATTAAAGGTACCAATAAAATTTAAAACCTCAATAATTGAAAACAATAACTCATCAACGGTTGGCCTTGGCAACTCCTTGAATTTCATCCTTCTTCGAACCTAAATTTCTAGATCTGCATGTAATTGCTTCTGGCAACTGCTTCTCTTGTGACCAAGTTGCTTGCAAATTGAGCACTTATTCATCTTCCGGGGAACCTCACAAGTTGATGGAATACGCTTAACTCTTTTTCTCCCCTTTGTTGTCTTCTTTTTATTACTTCTGGCAACTGCTTCTCTTGTGACCAAGTTGCTTGCAAATTGAGCACTTATTCATCTTCAGGGAACCTCAAAGGCTGATGGAATACGCTTAACTCTTTTTCTCCCTTTTTCTGTCTTCTTGAATGGCGGCTGGATGATAATGTCAGCCATTTCTGGCGGCACTACCCAC